AGCTGCAGAGACTATGGAAAAGGCAAGAATTCGAATCTTGCGTCCATCCGAAATCTGGCATTAGTTTGAATTATATATCAGTAGAGGCTTCGAAAGGCAGAGAGAGCTTTTAATAACGTGTTCATTACGTTGAAACGATTGCAAACTCTTTCAAAATGTTTTCATATGTTGAAGATGAATATTTATGAAGATGTGTGGTAGTTAGTAACAAAATGAAGATTTTTACAAAGACCTCGTCTACTATAGCCTCCAAATTCATAAAGTCCTATGAATTGAATGAAAAAGAGGCTTAAAATTTCCGGGATGAGAGTCAAGGTAATCTCTCGTGTATCTTTGTTAGAGCATTCTCTTAATCTACGACATTTCACAAACCAAGATCTTATACAATTTTCCCATTTCCTCTCATCGGCGCTGTAGCCTTTTCAAGCGGCTCAAACCCGGGCGCAACCGCCTCAAGGCTCTGCACCGCGTTCATCTAAGGATAGGAAAATGACCATAAGCATTCTCAACCGCTGCCCAAGGAGGGAATATGATCGGGGGACACATTAACGACCGGAACAACCTTCAAGGGCAGTGCCTAAACAGATCCTAGTTTCGCCCTGTTAGCATCACCTCCATTTTTGTCAAGTGGGTGGGAAAAATACTGAAGAAACAAACTGTCAAACGCTTGAGCAATCATGGGATCATATCTCCGACAGAGCGTGGATCTCAGCGTGGTAACAGAAACAGAAGAAGTACACAAAAGTGTACGATGTGGTACTATATTATTGTGTACAATATCATGCGATACCACAAGTCCACTACCACTGCGATGCTGCAATCACTCAATGAGCGGATCCTCTATTCTACAGAGGCCTCAATACCGATGTAGTTTGCTTGGACCTTACTAAAACCTCTGATGATGTACCCCATTCGGTATAATCTAAAAATTGGGTTCCTCGTATTGTTGCCTGGATCAAAGCTTTCCTTGAAGACAGATGTTTTATGATTCGTAACAACGACAGCTTTTCTCGACATAGACATATGGGTAGCCTTACACCCCAAGGGGGTGTTTTATCTCCCATTCTGTTAACGTCTACACCTATGAGCTTCCACAAATTCCTACTGATTTTGGTGTTACTTGCTCTCCCCTCACAGACGACTGACCTGTACACGACAGTAACGGTGGATAGCGAAAAACGATATTCTTCAACGACTTGCCCAGTTCGGGTAATCACACCATTACCATCGTTTTTGGATCATTTCCAGATTTACAGTACTGCAGTGAGCTGGGTATTTGTAGAGCATTTATGTTCTATAACCTTCTTTGCTATTTAAGCGTTTCATTCCTTTTCCTCCTTTCTTTCAAGCCATTGAATAAATCCTACTAGTTCTGGAGTATGTTGTGGCAGCTATCCATGGGTATCTCCGCCACATAGAAAGGCTCGGATTGCGCAAACTCAGAGGACATCTGATCAATGAGACTCTTCGCTTTATATTCTTTTTTGCTATTGTCATTCAACAAGTTTCTCGAAAATACGTTCTCTTAACTGGCCAGTGGTAGCTTAGGAATCCGTTCTGTGTTGCTGTTTGCTGAACTTTTCTAGTTTGGTCAGGTGAATGCGAGTCCCAAAGCTTTGTGGAGCATTCTTAGATCAAGATATGTTGGATGTCGAAAAGTGTCAGCTGCACTTACCTGACCAGAAAATCCGACGTACATACCACGCACAAGATCGGCCAATGGCTGCCGAGAAACTGCTGCCAGATTTACGAGGGCTACTGGTGTTGACAGGATCTCAAGAGCAAAGAAACGGCAAAAACACACGAAATCACAGCAAATGCAATTTCCTCAAGAAACCTGGACGTGTCAGCAGAGGCAAGCTGTACTGACGAATCCATCAGCACCGGAAACCAGATCTGGCAACATGTGACCGATGGTCCATGTAGGCCATGCTTAGATAGCACTTCTTTTCAATCCTGCACTCAAAAAAAACATAGCAGGAACCGGGAAACAAAGCATGAAAACAGATTCTAAGTTTTTTGGGAAGAGCTCAACACCACCTCAATCCCAGCTTTCCTGATACACGCACTACAGGATTTGTAGAATATTCGAAATTCGCCTAAAATGAAAACTATAGAAAAAAAAGTGTTGAGAAATGCATGAACAAAAGAGTTCATAGGACAGGAATGCTGCGAGCTGCAAGTCCCCGCGCGCTGCAGCGCACTACAAAGCTGGAAAGGATCTAAAAACGCACGCGCGTGTTGGTGTGATTACACGAGTCGGGGCAGTCGTGATCAATATACCTTAGCAGCCGTTTACGGCAAGTGCTAGATTAAGTTTGAGTTAGTACACGATTGAGGTTTGCCAATCTTTGTGGAAAACCAAATTTATTTGCATCGCGTCACTACATTGTAATCCAGACTCCAGGAAGTGGAGCAGATGAAAGACCTAGAGTTTCTGATCAAACGTAATCTCACATTTGATGAGTAAGTGCAGACAAAGCTTGAGCACAGCCTACAACTTTCCAAAGCTCTTTCAGCCAAGAAATTATCATTCATTCTCTGGCTAGGCGACACGAGCACGCTTTGGGACCATCTGGTTACCAAGTTCATGAATGCGTTTTAACTCGTTTTGGTAAATGACTATTAGGAATTCTTGAAAGAACATGTTTGAACTCGCGTTGTTTAGGCTCCGTCCACAGTGCTGGCGCCGAGCTAGCGCCGTACGCCACAACGCT